AAAAACCTTATAGGAAAAAAGAAACCAAACCTTAATCGATTAATTTTATTTTGGTTATTATTTTTCATAACACTTCATAAAACCAGTGACTTGTTAACCCGGGAAGGATTTGCATCGGGAGGAAATAAATCTATTTATGCATTTTTGGGGAGGGTGGGAYGGGAGGGGTTTGGTTTTCTGGGATATTTTCCTAGTGGTAGAGAAATAAAAATATCTATGAAACAACRACGTTTTCCTGATTTTTGGGGTTTTTTTCCCCCGTTTGGATTTTATTGTTGGATCGGAGAAGTGGAAAGTGAAGGGGGTCCAGAGGCAGCTCCTCCTCCTTCTCCCCGGGTTCTTTTTTGGGGGGGAACAAGGTTGTTTTGGGATAAAATTCCCATCCCTGGGCAGTTTGTGGGGATAAATTTTGGGAATGGCTGGGTGTGGGTGGCTCTGGGGTGACACGGGTGACACGGGGACCCGTGTTGGGGGCTGGAGGAGCCGATGTTCCCGCAGCCACCAGGAAATCCCGGGATTTGGGACATTCCCAAAAGTCTCCTTTCCCATGGAGCAGCCTGGGATCTGTGGGAATCGATGGGATCTGTGGGAATCCATGGTATTTTAGGAATCCTTGGGAATCTGTGTGAGCTGGGATTGCTGGGACCTCCCCTGTCCCCTTGGTGCCACTTGGCCACCCCAAGGTGACACAGGGACCCTGTGTAGGGTCTGGGAGAGCCAATGTTCCCACACTGACCAGCAGATCCTGGGAGCTGGGACATTCCCAAAATGCTCCTTTCTCATGGAGTGGCCTTGAATCCATGGGATCGATGAGAATCCATGGGATCCGTGGSATCTGTGAGAATCTGTGTGAGCTGGGATTCCTGAGGACACTGCAGGGACCTTCACTGTCCCCTYGGTGCCACTTGGCCACCCCAAGGCAGCCGTGTTGTCCCTGTTTTTCCCAATTTTCGGGATCCATCCCATCCCAGGGAGCTCATCCCGCTGGTGTCCCAACCCAAAACTTCCTGTGATTCTGTCATCCCTCAAATTCATCCGGATATCCCAACCCAAACCTTTCCGTGATTCTGTGATCCCTCAGTATCATCCGGGTATCCCAACCTAATTTTTTCCATGATTCCCTGATCCCTCAACACCATCCAGATGTTCCCAACCCCATTTTTTTCCCTTGATTCTGTGATTCCTCAAATTCATCTGGGTATCTCAACCCAAACCTTTCTGTGATTCCGGGATCCCTCGGTGCCAACCCCCCTCTGTGGTTTCCACAGATGGCACCTCCCAGCACCTGGGCACGTTTCCTGCTGCTCCAGGTGACAACAGGCCCAGCCTGGTGACAACAGGAATGACCAGGTGACAACAGACACAGACCAATGACAACAGGAATGGCCAGGTGACAGCAGGAATGGCCAGGTGACAACAGACACAGACCAATGACAGCAGGAATGGCCAGGTGACAACAGGAATGGCCAGGTGACAACAGACACAGACCAATGACAGCAGGAATGGCCAGGTGACAGCAGGCCCTGCCAGGTGACAGCAGGAATGGCCAGGTGACAAGAGACACAGATCAGTGACAGCAGAAATGACCAGGTGACAGCAGGAATGACCAGGTGACAGCAGGAATGGCCAGGTGACAACAGACACGGCCAGGTGACAACAGACACAGCCAGGTGACAACAGGAATGGCCAGGTGACAGCAGACACAGACCAATGACAGCAGGAATGGCCAGGTGACAGCAGACACAGCCAGGTCACAACAGGCCCAGCCTGGTGACAACAGGAGTGACCAGGTGACAGCAGGCCCAGTGCCACGTGCTCAGGTCGGGCTGCAGCAGGAGCAGGCTCATTTCTCTCATTTCTCTCATCTCTCTCATCTCTCTCATCTCTCATCTCCAACTCGTTAATTAACTCCCGCAGGCTGACGAGGGCTCCCTGCGCAGGGAGCAGCTCTGCTCTGATTA